AAGGGGAAAAGGGAGGAGGGGGGAGGGGAGCAGGAAGGACTTGGGGAAGATGGGGAGAACGGGGAGAAGGGGAGGAGGAAGAGAGGAGGAAAGGGAAGGGGAAAAAGAAGGAAAGGGGAGGAAAGGGAAGGGAGGAAGAGGGAAAGAAGAGGAGGGAGAGGGGAAAAGAGAAAGGGGGAGGAGGAGAAGGATGAGGGGAAGGGGATGGAGAGAAAGGGGGAAAGAAGAGGAGGATAGGAAGAGGAACGGGTTGAGGAAAAGGGAAGGAAAAGAAGAAAAGGAAGGGTTTGGGAAGCATGGGAAGAGGAGTGGAGGGAAGGGAAGGAGAAGGAGAGGATGAAGGGGGAACGGGGAGGAAGAGGAGATGGAGTGGAAGAGATTGAGGAGGAAGGGGAAAAGTGGAGGGGAGGAGGGGGATGCAGAGGAAGGGATGGGTAACGGGGAAGGGTGAGGATGGTGGGGACACCGCTGTCATGCACAGGTGATGGGCCCCTCCTTGGGCAGCACCCAAGACAGGCAGTGCTGGTGCCCACCCCGCTGGGACCCCCCATGCCCCCACTCCTCCCCGTCTCCAGCTCCCCGGCCATCTGCAGCTCCTCGCTGCCAGTGCTGCCCCCTGGGGCGGCCCAGCTCCGTGCTGCTCCACACGGCTGCATGCTCGGGAGTGTGTTGGGGGGCCAGGGCTGAGTGCACCCCACAGTTACCCCACACATCCCTCCCGCCCCACGCAGGGCCCCCTCCTACCCCGCTAAACATTAACCTCGTGCCCAGCAGGGCTTGGCTGAGAGCTGGTGTCCCCAAGGCTTCGTCCCATGCCTGGCCCAGGCACGTTTAGGGACACGTGCAGGGCAGCAGCAGCAGCAGCACCTGCGGCCTCTCAATCTGCTCGAGGGAAAGGCAGCAGTGGCAGGGCTTGGGGTTATGGGGACAGAAAGGCAGCAGGGCCTGGAAACCGGGGACACTTGTGGGAACTGGGAGCAGTAGGGCAGTGAGCAGTTTGGGAACATCATTAGGTTGTTTGTTCAGCAATGATGATCAGCACCTGTGAAGGGCAAACCTGGCAGGGAACTCAGGAATGGGGGTCTGCGCGTGGGGCCAGGACACAGGGATGTGGGGATGCCTGGCCTGTGGGGCTGTGGGGCAGCAGTGACACTGCTGCCTGGGCTGGGGATGGAGCCTAGTGGCAGTGTTGGGTGCAGGATGAACGCTGCCAACTTGGGCATTGCTCATCCCCTTGGTGGGACTTGGGGCATCCGAGCAGAGCTGGCACACAGCAGCCAGGACCAGGCTGTGCCCCGTCCACATCCCCACATCCCTCATCAGCAACTCTGCAGGACGCTCTCGGGAGGCTGTGATTGAGTGCGTTGATAAACCCACCCCATCAGATCTGCGGAGCCGTGTTTTGCTCCTGGCTTCTGTAAAGTTAATTGGGTTAGAGTTTCCAGGAAGAAATGAAGGAGAAAAACACTCTCCCGGTGTGTGGGGCCATTGAATGCTCTCTGGCGAGTTATAATTGCAAATCATGTTTTGAAATCGCATTAACCAATTATTCCTTGTTGTTGTTGTGCCCGGCTGCAGGACAGCGTGTGCATGGTGGTGGAGGAGAGCCGTGCCGGTCCCACCAGCAGGGCGGGCGGTGACGCCTGGCACTGGGACCGGAGGCACCCGCTGCCTTGTCCCCAGCAAGGAGAGGTTTGTGCTTTAGAGGAGCCACGGGGCTGGAGATGAAGCTGTTTCCTCTGCTGTGTGCTCCCACCACCACCATCTCAGCTGCAGGAAGGTCGGAAGGCAGGAAGCAGAGCATGACCCCATCCAGCCCCCGGCGCCCAGTGCCCGTCCTTCATGGCTGAGGATGCTCGGAGCTGCCCTGGCCCCCGTCCTGGCCGCCCTCATCCAGCACCAGGCAGGGCCGGATCTCAGGGCCACTGATCCCATGCGTGGGCTTGTGTGCAGTGACACAGAGCACGAGGCTGAGGCTGCCCGGGAACTGGGCATAGGGCAGCACTAGTGAGGGCAGATAGAAGGGGCAGAGCGCAAGTAATGGGGTGGTTATGTACTTCTGAGTCTGTTCAGTGATTCTCAGCCCGGGGGAGGCTCTGCAGAGACCTTACAGCAGCTCTCCCAGTGCCTAAAGGGGCTACAGGAAAGCCCTTGTCCTGTATGGAAAGGGGATATTTACAAGGGCATAGTTGGATAGCACAAGGAGGAATGGCTTTGTACTAAAAGGGGGAGATCTAGATGAGATGTTAGGGGGAAATTCTTCGCTCAGAGGATGGTGAGGTACTGGCACTACTGCCCAGAGCTGTGTGTGCCATCCCTGGAGGTGCCCCAGGCCATGGAGGGGTCCTGGGCAGCCTGAGCTGGGGAGCAGCCAGCCGATGGCAGAGGTGGGGCTGGGGGCTGTAAGGTCCTTTCCAATCCAACCATGCTGTGATCCTATGATTCTATGATTATGGTTCTGTGTGCTCAAGTCCCAAGGCTCGGCGATTTTCTCCCTCCTTCTCACTGCTTCGATTTCCCGCAGAGCCCGGCTGGGCATGGCTCGAGCTCATCTGGAAGGAGAGGAGCAGAAGCATGGCGTGACGGGGCGCAAGGGAAGGGATGACACCGCAGGGCCATGGGGCTGAAGACCACCAGCCATATTTCTAAGTCACGGGGGTCTGAGCCCTGTCCCCATCCCATCCCCACCAGGCTCAGCCCATAGCTGTGTTTGCGCTCAGGGCGGCAGCTCGGGCTGTGTTTACAGCTCCGGACGAGGCACGGTGCCACGTGGCTGCTGGGTGCCCGCCCTCGCTGGGGCGGGGAGGGTTAAACGGATGGAGCACAGAAGCTCTGGTTGTCCTGACCCCCCCGCGCCGAACCTGGCCGCCTCGCCCCAGCACGCCAGCCAGCGCTGGTTCAGCACTTACGCATGATGCTGTTATTAGAAATTAGTTAATGGATGTCTCCGACCGAACGAGAACGGTGGCAACGGGCACATGGGGGGCAGGAACGGCCGCGGGTGCGCACGTGATGTGCAGCACCCACCGCAGTGCCGCCCTCGGGTGCTGGGGAGCGGGACGTGTGCGAGCACGGTGCTCGCTGGGTCCGCCGATCTGCTTCGTAGGAGAGACGTATGGGACGTCAGTGCAGCCCCATAGGGCCGTGTGGGGCAGGCCGTGGGGGACGCGAGGTGCCTCGTTGGTTGGTGGTGCTGCAGCCTAAGGGATGCGTAAGGAAGAATCCCCCAAAGCAGGCAGCCCGCTGGGTGCGATGGCACAGGGACAGCCACCCATAGAGCCCCAGTGCTGCAGTGCAGATCTCCCCCTAAGCAAAACCCCATGGCCACCAGCGGGGTGCAGTGCCAGCAAGCAGGGCTCTGAGCCCCGTGCAATGCCTGGGACCCACACTAAGGGAAACAGCAGCCCCAGGCTCTGAGGGGATGCCCTCAGAGCAGAGATGTCCTCGTTAGGGGATCTTTTTGAGGGGATAAACCCCAATATTTTATCGGTAAAAGGCGCTCTCAGTACAAGCAGAGAAGCCTGGAGGGGTTCCGGGGGAGGGGGGGACCGCAATGTCTCTCCGCCCCTTTTTCCCCCCGTTCTGGAGGCAGCCGCTTTTGTGCCCCCCCCCCCCCCCCCCCCCCCCCTGCCCGCCCGTTCCCAGCCCTCGGGGTGGGGTGGCAGCGGTGGCCGTGCCCGGTGGCAGCGGGGCCGTGTGCTGCGTGCGCCTCCCCCTCGCCACCGGCCTCCCCGTAGGTCCGCGTTGACGCTGCGCGGAGATTGGAGCCGTGGCACGAGGGGCGGGCCTGGGCTCCCGTTTAATCCCCGCTCTGTCGGGATTAGGGCCGGAGGAGACTCGGTAATCTGCCGGAGGCTCGGCACGCAGCTGGGACCGGCAGCGAGGCAGCGCCGAGGGGACGGGCAGGTAGGTCCGACGGGACCCACATCCCCGCGCCGTCCCCGCTTTCCCCCAGTCCCGTGCTGGGAGGGAAGGCTGCAATATGTTCCCCCCCGCCGTGCCCCCCCTGGTGTCCCCCCGCCGTGCCACCCCCGCGCCGCTCACCTCCTCCTCCCCTAACTCCAAAAGTTCCTCCGGAGCCCCGAGCCGGGAATGCTGCAGAAGAACGGATCCGCTCGCCGCCGCCCCCCGGCGTGCTGCCCCACGGCACGCTGCCCCACACCGCGCCCCACAGCTCAGTCGCTCGCAGGTGGCACAGCCGGAGCAGCGCAGGGGCTGTTTGCTTTGCTTTGCCTTCCTCTTCCCTCTCCAGCTGCTGAAACCCTCCCACAACGTATAAAAAAATCCTGCGAATGCTCATAAAGAGGCAGAGCTGCAGCCCTCGGGGGAGCCCCGCCGCCCCTCGCGGTTCTCGGCTCGCTTTGCTCGCAGCAACCCCTCGGGCCCCCCCGCCCCTCACTGTTTTCCTTTTTTTTTTTTTTTTTTCTTTTATTTTCCACTTTAATTTTTAATCAGCCGTGCCAGCAATGTGTGTGTGTGTGTATGTGTGTGTAAGTGCTGGAAAGTGCGGCGGCCGCATCGGGTGTCAGGGGCTCCCACGCGGTGGGGCCGTGTGTACCGTGCGGGTATTTTTAGGGCAGAGCACAGCGCGGCCGTGACGTCCGCAGCGCTCCGTGTGTCTGCGGGACGGCAGGAGAGCTCCTGGGGAAACTGAGGCACCGCCGTCGGGCTCCCATCTGCGGGCACACGGGGCGGCTCCGGGGCTGCAGGACTGCTGTGCCCACGCGGAGGAGGAGACGGGAATTTTCCATTGGCAACCGGATGGTGCCCGAGCTCGGCGGTCGCATCTGTCGGCTCACGGGCTGTCGCTGCAGAAGCGCTGCCCTGCTGCCCGCCGTGACCCCCAGCGGCGGATGGGGATCGGTGTGGATGCTCGGGGTTGGCATCGGGGTGCCGCCGCCGCGGGGAGCCCGGCTCAGGTGCAAAGGTCCCGCAGCGCCCGGCTGTGCTGCAGCTGCATTCGCACTGGGGCCGCGGCCACGGCAAACAAACGGGCCCCGGCCGAGGCTGTTTTCCTTGGCGCGGGGGGACCGGGGGGGAGGACTGGGATCCCACGGGCTCCTCGGACTGAGAAAACAGAGGCCCCTGCCCTCTGTTTTCTCACCACGGGGTCCCAGCCACCCCCGCATCCGCGGCACCGCAGGGTTGCTGACGCAGGGCTGGGGACAGCTGTGACCCTGGTGGATGGTGGTGTGTGTTTTTGGGTGCTGGGCGCTTGGTGAAGGTGTGCGTTAGGACACTGAGAGGTGTCATCCTTCCTAGGTGTGATGGAAAAGCTCAAATTGTGGTTTCAGGCAGTCTGCGTGTTTAATCCCTGTCCCTTCCAGGTGGCACCAGCTCTGCCACGTGCTTGGCACTTTGTTCTGTGCCCCACACTGTGCCTCAATTTCCCCATAGCCCTTCAGGGGAGGACACGCCAACTGTGCCACCCTCTGCTCATGGTGCCACCACTGTCCCCATCACGTCTCCAACCTCAGCTTGTCCACCACTGGAAAAGTGTCATGCTCATCCCAGTAACGAGGCGAGCACCGCTGCTTTGGAGAGAGTATGCGTGGCACAGGAGCTTGGCCAGCTCAGAGAGGACCATGGCTGCCAGCATGACGGGGTTGCCCATGGCCATGGTGTTGGGACATTCAGAGGACATTCAGTCCGGGGATCCTCTCCCTGTCTTGCATGGCCATGGGGCCACAATGATGACAGTGGGGTCACGGCCAGGCCTGGGCTGCAGGAGGTGTGCCTTGGCTGACATGCTGCTGGCCACTAGCATGGTGTTCTGTCCCCTCCGCCCTTCGGCTGAGTGCCCATGCTGGGCTCTGTGTGCTGCTGGATGTCCCCTCTGTCCCCATTGCATCCCCAGCCCCAACACGTCCACCACTGGACTATGTGGGATGGCTACCTCGTGGTGCTCTCCTATCTCCTGAGGGTCTCCATATGGTGCCCATAGAGGGCCTCACCCCAGCAGGATGAGAGGTGCTCGCTGTGCTCGCTGTGCCCATCCCGATGCAGCCCACAGTGCTGGGTGAGGCCGTGCTGTGTTGGAAGGTGGGAGCGCAGCACGTAGCTAAGAGCAGGGCTGGGTGCTAAATTTAGGAAGCCAGGTCAGGAGAAAAACACAGGTCTGTATTGTGCTGGGCTGGGGGAGGGTGACCGGTGGTGGCGTGGGGCTGGCACAGGGACCCCAGGCTGTGCCAGCAGCCATGCCATCATTGTGCTGCTGTGCCTCAGAGGTGCTGCTGCCGTCACACTGAGCTGGGAACATGAGAGCACCGTGCTGACACCCGAGCAGCACTGGAACCCATGGGCACGGGGGGGGTGTGCAGCTCCCATCCCGGTGCTGGGTTGCCAGCACTGTGGGGCAGCAGCTGCTGCTGCTTGGCGCTAAATCCGGATTACACCACTGCTGTGTCCCCCACCCTGGTGCAGTGGATTAGCGGGTTGGGGTCTGGGCACTGCAGAGCTTTGGGGCTCAGGGTGTCCCCGAGCTTTGGCTCTGGTGCATGGAGTGGCACTGAGACAGGGGCAGACGTGGCGTCACTGAGCTCGGTGTGGTGACAGGTGATGGCTGAGCCCACGGGACCTGATGGCAGAGCGGGAGGCATCCCTGTGGGCACCGCTTCCCTGCAGCCCTCTGTCCCCGGGCGGTGTTGGTGCCCACACGGTGCCCACCGCCCCGCTATGGGCAGCCCTGTGAGGCCCCAGGCTGAGGGCCGCTGCCACACCATTTATTTGCTGTTCTACAGAACCTTATCACAAAGCAAACAGCGTCTGTGAGGGGCACGACCGACGCGTCACCGGTCCCTCGCCCCTTCCCCAGTGCCACCAGCGGAGACCAAAGGCCGGCAGGCGCAGAGGTGGCAGTGAGTGCCGCGGGGCCGTGCCAGCGCTGCCGGCGGGAGGAAGCCAGGGGCGACGCTCACAGCATGACAAATGGGGCCGGGTGTGCTGGGGGAGGCTGGCAGCACCCGGACGTAGCCATAACCAGGAGGAGGAGGAGGGGGCTGCAGTGGGAGGCATGGGCACCTCGCAGCTTGGCACTGGCACTGTGGATGGATACGGGGGGCCGGGCGAGGGACGTGCCGGCGGCGGTGGGAAGGCGCGGAGCTAACGGCAGCGCTGGGACGTGCTGGCAGCCCCGTCCGTGCCTGGATGCAGCCCAAGCTGAGGCCCAGTGGAGGGGATAAATCATCACCCAGCAGCCGCCTGCGGTTCCATCTCTTCCACCACGCGGCTCGGCCTTGCTGTCCTAGGGCCCTGCTGTGCCTCAGTTTCCCCACCTGGATAAGTGCCATACAGAGGGGTGGCTCGGTGCCACACTCCCACTTGTGGCTCAGCCCCCCAATGCTACTGGATGCTGCTGGGCTGTGTGTGGCCTGGAGTGACCCCAGGGCTCCTTGGTTCCCAGGTGGTGGGGACAGAGCAGTGATGTGACCCACAGGGTTAGGGGTGCTGCAGCCCTTCCCTGGTGTACCTGGGGGCCGCTGTCCCTGTGCCCCCCCACAACCTGGGGTCCCAGTACTGGGCGCACACAGAGCCAGGCGGTACCCAGGACCGCTGCTCAACCCCAAGTGCTGGGCCAGGAGCTAAAGGATGGGTGCAGCCCCCAATCCTCATGGGGAACCCACAGCAGTGAGGTGATGGGGAAGCTGCATCCTCCTGGGGCTGGGGATCATCCTGCATCCCACCCTGAAGCTGGGTGACTGTCTGTCCCCATGGATGGGGATCTGGCATGTGAACCCCTGGGTGGGGAGGACTCCCATCACAGAGTGGCAGGGACGCAGAAGGTGGCAGGGGACAGCGGGGGGCAGTGGGGCCATGGCCCGACTGCCAGCCTGCCCCAGAAAGCAGCCCTGTGCTGTTTCCCAGCGGGGCGGGGAGGGCTGGGCGCGCACAGAGGCGGCTTTGTGCCGCTTGCCAAGGCGTCCCCGCTCGGCAGCCTGGCCGCCATCCCCTGCCAAGGACTCGTCTCACAGCCTTGCACTTTCCTGCTCCATCGGTGCCAGCCCTGACGTGCCCCTGAGCCCCTGCCTCAGTGCCCGGCAGCACCAGGGCTTCACACGGGGGTCCCTGAGCTCCCTGCCCCATCCCACACACCGGTGCTGGAAGGGGAGGTGCTGCAGGAGGCTGAAAGCTCACAGGGGACGCACGGGGGTCCCATCCCCACTGCTCCCAGTGCCGCCCCACTGACGAGGATCCCTCTGCCAGGCCCTGCAGCTCCCACCTGGTGCCAGACCCCACGCCTCGCCACGCCACGAGGAGCCCCTGAGCCTGCCATGGAGGGCCCGGAGCTGCCCGTCCAGGCTGAGATGGTGGAGCTGGTGCCCAACGGGAAGCATGCGGCTGCACTTGGCACCACCACCATCCCCTCGCTGCCTGGTGACAGGTAGAGGCTTGGGGACAAGCGGCTTCTTCAGCTGGGGCTGGGCAGCTGGCTGGTGAGCCAGTCCCCTGCTTGGGACTGGGGGCTCTGGGATCAGCAGGTTTGGGATGCTTGGGGCGCTCAGGGTTCCTGGGATGCTTGGGACACATGGGACACTTGGGGTGCTTGGGTCACTTGGGATGCTCAGGGCACTTGGAGCACCTGGGGCACAGGTCCTTGTGGTGCTTCAGACACTTGGGATACTCAGGGTGCTTGGGGGAACTCAGCTTGCTTGGGGGCACTTGGGACACTCAGGATGCTTGAGTAGCTCAGAACACTCAGGGTTCTTGGAGCACTTGGGATGCTCAGGGTGCTTGAGGTTCTTTGGGCACTTGGGACACTTGGGCTCCTTGGAGCACTCAGGCTGCTTGGGGCACTTGGAGGTACTTGGGGTACTCAGGATGCTCAGGGTTCTTGGGACACTTGGGGTGATTGCAGTGCTTGGGGAGGTACAAGGCACTTTGAACGCTTGGAAGTCCTGGGGTGCTCAGAGCACCTGGGGAGACTTGGGAATCTCTGGGGACTTGGGATGCTGAACTTGCTCATGGCACTTAGAATGCTCGGAGTGCTCAGAGACTTGGGGCACACATGGGGTTCTTGGGGTGCCAAAGGGACTCAGGGTATTGAAAAGCTTGGAGAATTGCTCTTGGGGCTGAGGGTGCTCGGGGTGCCCTGGGGAGCTGGATGCTCTGGGGTGCTGCTGGGAGGGCTTCATCCAGCCCAGCTCCACTCAGCCTAGCTGCCCTGCTCCTCCCTCTGTGCCCAGGTTTGATGAGAACCAGTGTGGTGCAGAGATGGAAGAGTTCCTGCCCCATGGCACTGAGAAGAAGCAGACGCACTTCACTGATGTGAGTGGCAGTGCAGGGCCCCCAGGGTGCCCCCTGGCAGCATCCCCCCCTTTTGTCACCTTCCCCTCTTTGTCACACAGTTTGAAGGCAAGACGTCGTTTGGGATGTCTGTCTTCAACCTGAGCAATGCCATCATGGGCAGCGGCATCCTGGGGCTGGCCTACGCCATGGCCAACACTGGCATCATCCTCTTCCTGTGAGTGCTGCCAAGACATGGGGCTCATGGTGACATGGGGACTGACGTCCCCCGGGTGCCGAGGTGCCCGAGGAGCGGCTGGTGACAGCGCTGTCCCCTCGCAGCTTCCTGCTGACGGCCGTGGCACTGCTATCCAGCTACTCCATCCACCTGCTGTTGAAATCCTCAGGCATCGTGGGTGAGTGCAATGCCCCCCTCCACCCTGACACCCCCGTCTCACCTCCCAGCCCTCACCCCTGTGTCCCCATCCCACAGGCATCCGTGCCTATGAGCAGTTGGGTTTCCGAGCCTTCGGCACACCAGGCAAGCTGGCTGCAGCCATCGCCATCACACTGCAGAACATCGGAGGTGAGCACGGGATGTGGGACGTGGAGGGGACATGGGGACACGTGGCAGCTCCCCACCACACTGCCCTCCTCTGCCCGCAGCCATGTCCAGCTACCTGTACATCGTCAAGTCTGAGGTGCCACTGGTCATCCAGACCTTCCTCAACCTGGAGGAGAAGACCACGTGAGTGTCACCCACCCCGTCCTCCTCCCACCGCATCCCTGCCCCACGCGCCCTGGATTCCGCTCCAGCTGTGCAGCCTCTGGCAGGGATTAATGGCATTAAAGCCACTGCTATTTTTGATCACTGTCAGTGCTGAATAAGCCCCCAGGCGGGATTAGTCCGGGATGAACTTCCAATCCCTGCCCCTCACCTCCTGCTGGGATCAGCCCACCTGTTCCTCCTCCTGCAGGGCACATTGCCCCAGAGGTGCTGGCATGGGGGTCCCAGGCATGCTGGCACCAAGGGATCTTAGGGGTGTAAACACAGAGATCTCTCTGGCTTCAGGAGATGCCCCTTCCCTGGGACATCTGCTCAGAGGTGCAGAGATGCTGGCCGTGGGGACCCATAGCAGAGGGGTCCAGTCCCAGGGGATGCTATCTCAATCGCCTGGAGATGCCATCTCACATGTCCCCAGGGATGCTGGTGCAGGGATGCTCCAATGGCCTCAAGGGATGCCTGCATCACTGGGCACACTGGCTAAGGGGACCAGGGGTGCCAGGCCAAGGATTTCAGGGGTGCCAGCCCTGCAGAGGACAGAGGAGTCCTCTGAAGCTCCCACTCTTCATTGGGTATGAGCATGCCCTTGCCTCTACTTCCAGGGATTGGTACCTGAATGGGAACTACCTGGTGATCCTGGTCTCTGTCACCATCATCCTGCCTCTGGCCCTGATGAAGCAGCTGGGTAAGTGGGAACGTGGGTGGACATGGGACCAGAGGGGGCTGTGCCCATTGCTCTCCTCTCCCCCCAGGCTACCTGGGCTACGCCAGTGGCTTCTCACTCAGCTGCATGGTCTTCTTCCTCATCTCGGTGAGCACAGGGCGGGGATGTCGCTGTGGTGAGGGGGCACTCAGAGCCCCCTACTGACAGAGTGTCCCCCCCCAGGTCATCTACAAGAAGTTCCAAATCCCCTGCCCGCTGCCCGAGCAAGGGGGGAACATCACCATTGGCACTAATGTCACTCTGGGCAGCGAGCACTGGGATGGCCCTGCAGCCCCACTGCCCACTGAGGTGGGGGCCTGCACCCCCAGCTTCTTCACCCTCAACTCCCAGGTAGGTTTGATTCCACACTGAGGGCTCCCAGGCATGGGCAATGGGTTCCCAGCATTCATTGCACATTCTGCAGACAGCATACACCATCCCCATCATGGCCTTCGCCTTCGTGTGTCACCCTGAGGTGCTGCCCATCTACACGGAGCTGAAGGAGTGAGTGGGGGTGAAGCTGGGGGGCGGAGGGTGGGGTGGGCCGTGCTGACACCCATTTCCTGCAGCCCCTCCAAGAAGAAGATGCAGTGCATCTCCAACATCTCCATCACCGTCATGTACCTCATGTACTTCCTGGCTGCCCTCTTTGGCTACCTCACGTTCTACGGTGAGCTGTGGGGACAGGGGCATGGGGACACGGTGGGGACGCCCATGGGAAGGCGGTGGCACAGGTGCTGACCCATGTCCCTGGTGCTGCAGGGCGCGTGGAGTCAGAGTTGCTGCACACCTACAGCCGGGTGGACCCGTTTGACGTGCTGATCCTCTGTGTGCGGGTGGCTGTGCTGACAGCTGTGACACTCACTGTCCCCATCGTCCTCTTCCCGGTGAGTGTCCCCTTGGGGGCACACATGGGGCACCCTGTTGCCAGCTCTGCTCATCTCCAAGCAGGGAGAGGGGAAAGTGAGGCAGCAGTGGGATGGTGCCGTGGGGACAGGACAGGGATGGGAAGGTCTAACAGGCACCAATGGCCCTGCAGGGATGGGACAGCTGTGAGGATGGTGTGTGACGTGTCCCTGTCCCCGTCCCCAGGTGCGCCGTGCTATCCAGCAGATGCTGTTCCAAGGCAAGAACTTCAGCTGGATCCGCCACGTCGCCATCGCCGTGATCCTGCTGACCTTCATCAACCTCCTGGTCATTTTTGCCCCCTCCATCCTCGGCATCTTTGGGTTGATTGGTGAGTGGCAGTGCTGCCCCGTCCCTGTCACCCAGCTGTCCCCCAGGACTCACTCTACCCACTCATCCCTTCCTGCTTTAGGTGCCACCTCTGCCCCCTGTCTCATCTTCATCTTCCCGGCCATCTTCTACATCCGCATCATGCCCAAGGACAAGGAGCCCCTGCGCTCCACTCCCAAAATCCTGGTAAGCCCTAGGCCTCCACCCCAGCCTGTGGGGACTGCACTGCTGTCCCTGAAGGGTGAAATGGGGGGTGTGGGGATAAAAGCACAGGGGCAAAGGAGGGATGGGGTCTCCTGGGTTCTCAGTGGGGTGGAGGCACTCCAGCCCCTCCCTGCTCCCCACGGGGCAGTGGGGGCAGTGGGCAGCCCCCACCCTGTGCTCTGTCTCCCTCAGGCTGCCTGCTTCGCCCTCCTCGGGGTGCTCTTCATGATCATGAGCCTCAGCTTCATCATCACCGATTGGGCCACAGGAGGGGGCCGGAGTGGCGGCAGCCACTAGCCATCCTGGTTGCCCACCCTGATCCCCCCCCCCATCCCCACCAGGACCCCCCGGGGCTCCCACCTTCGCCACCTGCCCTTTGCCTGAGGGGGCACATGGGGGACCCCAGCCCGTGCCCACCCCTCCTGGCTCTACGCTCGTGTTTCCCCATCTGTGCAATGGGGAGACCAGCGCTTCCCTACCTCACCGGGGGCCAAAGGGGACGGGGCCAACCTGGCCCACGGGCACCCGTTTGTCCTCAGCCGGCCCCGAGTCCTGACGGCAGCGTCTGCGGGGCTGGTGGCCAGCACCTCAGCAGTGCCCGTGCCACCCCCGTGTCCTCCGCTGTCCCCACCCCCTGACTGCCAGCTCCTCGCTGCCCCATCCCGCTGGCACGTGGTGCCCGGAGGAAGGCTGGTCCCGGTGCCAGCGGGTGGGAACCTGGCGATCCAGGGGCCAGCTCGGGGAAGGTGACACGTGCCAGGGCTGGGTGCCGCCGGCACTGGAGTGGGTGCACCCCAGAGGTGCTGGTGTGGGGCACGGAGGTGCTTGGGGCGGCACCGCTTGGGCTGTGGGATGGAGGGGGTGTGGGATGCGCGCACTTCCCGACACCAGGGTGATGGGCACAACCCGGCCCCGCTGTCTTGCCACCACCCACCTGTCTGTCCGTCTGTCCGTCCATGCCATGGGCGTCCCAGCCATGCCAAGAGCCTGGCCACGGGGACGCGAGCAGGCGGTGAGAGGGGCCGGGAGCTCGCCAAGTAAATAAGAGACGTATTTTTATATGGGGGTGGTGGAGGCTAGGACGCTTTTTATAAATACTGTATATAAGAGTAGTTCTTTTTTAATGTGTTGCGCGGCTCCCGGGAGCTCTGCACCGTGTGCGGGATCGGGGAGGCTCTCGCCGTGTCACCCCGGTGTCCCCGCACCGAGCTGTCCCACGGCCCCCCCGCCGTGCTGTTAAGTTATATGTGGGGATGAGCGCCGTGCAGGAGAAGCGCGACCGAGCAGATCCGTCAAAGTAACAATAAAGGATAAAAATGTGAGACGTGCCCGGTGTGGGGCGGGGCTGGGAGGGGATCGCGGGGACAACGCGGACGCGGAGACGACGCCGGGCTCTGCGGGCACACGGCGGCGCTGCGTCCCCGCCGACGGCCGCCCGGTGTCGGCAGCGGGGAGGGGAGGGAGCGCGGAGCGGGCCGCTCTCGGGTGTCCCCGGAGCGCCGATCCGATGCGCTGCCCCCATGCCCCAATTAGGACCGGTGTCCTGAGCCCCTTCCCACGAGTAACCCGTGTCTCCTTCCCGAGGCAGCCCCGTGTCCGCGCCCCGCGAGTGTTCTGTGTCCCGTCCCACGGGGGTTCGAGAGCCGCAGCCGCGGGGCGGGGTGGCCTGCGGACGATGCTGGGGCTGGGAGTGGGGACAAACCACCAGCGAGGATGGTAACAAAGCGGGTTTCATATTCGTGGCTCTAGGAAATGGGGTGTAATGGGGAGCTCAGCCTGGCGCCAGTGCTTCAAGCAGAATGGGGACAGCGGTGGTGGCTCGATGGGATGTGGCAAAAAGAGCTACGGTAGGGCTGGGACAGGAGAGCTTGGATCACACCGTGTCCCATTGCACAGCCGGCACGGACACCCCATGCCCTGGGCACGTCTGTTCTGGGGCACGTGGCACTATGCATGTTTGTCCTGAAGAAACCACTGCTCACTGCACATCTGTCCTGGTCACACCATGGCCTGTTACACTGTGGAAAGAACCTGGCCCTGTGCACATCTGTGCCGGAGCAAACCACGACCTCCTGTCCTAAGGCACATCACGGCCCGTGCACATCTGTCGTGGGGGGCACACCCGTGCTGGGCGTATTGGGGCCCCAGCTACACCTGCGCCGAGGAACAACCCGGTCCGCGCACGAGTGTCACTGCGCACACCGTGTCCCCGTGCACATCTGTCCCGGGGAACACCAATGGCGCAGCGCACATCTGCCCGCATCACACCACGCTCTCCGGCGCATAAACGTCACTCCCCGGCCCGTCCCCACTCCATCCCCTTCCCTTTCCTCTCGCCACGCCCCCTGCCCGAAGCCCAGCCCCCCAAATAAGCCCCGCCCCTTCGCCTAAGCCCCGCCCCCCTTGCCAAGGCCCCGCCCCGCCCCGCCCGCGCCGCGCAGGGCAGGGCAGTGCCGGCAGAGCGCGGAGCGAGGCGCCGCCGCCATGGGCTGCACGGTCAGCGCCGAGGATAAGGCGGCCGCCGAGCGCTCCCGCATGATCGACCGCAACCTGCGGGAGGATGGCGAGAAGGCGGCGCGGGAGGTGAAGCTGCTGCTGTTGGGTGAGCGCGACCGCCGGGCCCCGGGCATCCGTCCCCCGCCGCGGTACCCCCCCGCTACATCCCGCACCCCCGCCACGCGCATCAACGCCCCTCGGGCATTCCCGGCGCGGTCCCCGCACCCGTGATTCCTCACCCTCGTTTGGGGCCGCCCTGAACTTCCAGCTCCCCACCGCAACCACCCCACATCCCTGGGGGTCCCCTTCTCAAGTCCCCACCCATCCCCTGTGCCCAACCCGGGGTGCTACGGGGGAAGCCACGCCCCCGGGCCCCCGTAGCAAAGGCCCCGGGTAGGATGCAGAACCCCCGCGCATCCCTACATCCCTCCCCTCGTTGTTTCGGGTGCTGTTTGGAGCCGCCCCCCCGCCTCGGCCCGGAACATAGCGTTTATTTTCTCCCATCCCGCTGTTATCTCCGGGGATGGGGGTCCTCGCGCCGCCCCCCACCGCGGGGCGTTGGATGGGGCCGGGAGGAGCATCCCTCCTCCCCCCCCCTCCGCTGCCGTCGGGGGGAAACGCCGGCACAAAATGTCTTTTCTCGTCGCCTCCTTCGAGAGAGGAAGCCGAGAGCAGCAGGAAGTCGTGGTGCAATCAGGCAGCGGCCGATCCGCTCCAACACCGCCCGCCTCGACGAGCGCGGAATGAGCGGAGAAGGCGGAGCGCGGCGGTGCTTCCCCTCGGCGGGGTGCGGCGGTGGGGCCGGGCCGTGGGGGTCGGGCCGGCAATGCGAGAGGAACGGGAGCACCGGCAGCCCGGGAGGGGGAGCGGCGGCGGAGCGGAACCCCGCGGCGCTGCGGGGCGGCCACGTGGGGCCGAGACCCCCGCTGCTGGGGCTGCTATGGGCTCGGCCCCGCGCTGAGGGATGCGCCCGGTGCGTGGCTGCAGTGACGCCGGAGGGTTCCCCGGCTGGGGATGGGGCACGGTGATGCCGGGCTGATCCGTGCCGTGCAGCGGGCCGGGAGCGGTGTGGTTGTGCTCCTTGATGCAGGGTGAGGCTCCGGTCACTGATCTCGGTGGGTTTCTAAAGCCAAAAATAGAGCGAAACAGCTCCATTTTTTAGTATTTTTGATTCCTTCCCCCACCTTAGCAGCTGTTCAAGTGTAAACAGTGCTGAAGGCCCTGAGCTCTCGGTGCCGTTTTCTGAACCAAAATGTGTCCGGAAGGCACTTGAAAGCCCACGGGGAGCAGCTGGGATGGCTTCCAGTGGGTCCCCATAAGGTGCTTGGAGCCCCTCAGCCTCCTCCTGGCAGCCCCCCCAGCTGCATCCACATCCCCAGAGCACAGCACAGGCCCCAGCTGCTGCCCAGCTCCAGGCAGAAGTGAAACCGCAGTCCTGCAGAATCCTCACTGCTGCCAAAAGTGCTGTTGGTATTTGGGGGACGAGAGCTGCACGCCCATCCTGCTGTTCTGCACCCTCCTCTCTGAGTTTCTCACTTTCTGGCTGTTGCGTCGGTTTGGCAGAGCAGACCCAGGGGCTGTTGGTGGGCACAGCACCTGCAGGCAGCATTAGAGAGGGAGGAGACCCTCCCCAAAGCTGGATGCATGTGGGGTGCGCTCCTCGGTGCTACGCAGCTGCCACATGGGCTTCGTGGGCACAGTGCTAGCAGCCCTTAACCACACTCTGCCTGCTTGGCATTAAAGAAGAAGATTCCTTGGCTTCAGCATTAGGGATCTCTACCTCTGCCTTAGGAAGCATTTTTGATGCCCCAGATGCAGATGTTGCCCTCAAACAAAGCTGGTTGCTTGGCACATCACTGGGTTTGCAGCACTGGGAGAGCCATCAGGGGCACTTTGTGGCACACTGTGCCAGGGCTCTCGGTGCTGAGGGTGCAGTTTCAGCCTTGGTGTTCGAATGGTTCTGTCCCAGGGTGGGGACACCAGGCTCTGTGGCTCAGTCTGTGCACGCAGCAGCAGAGGAAGGGAGGCACCGGCTGCTGCTTTCAGCTCTCCAGCATTGCGTTGCCTCACGCACCCACAGGTTTTCCTTCCTCCCTGTTCCCCACCCCATGCTCTGCTGCAGCCCTTTGGTGAGACCGGGCTTGTAGGGAGGTGCAGGGCTTTAACCGGGGTGATGGTTTCAAGGGAAACATGATGGGGCCCGTGAGCTGCACTGGGAGAGATGTGGTGTCCCCAGGATTTCAGGGCCAGAAAGCGAGCAGAACGCTCCCTTCTTTCCTGGAAAAAGGCACAGGAATAGCTTTGTCCAGCTCGGATCGCAGCGGGGGTGTGGAGAGGGCCGTGCCCAGCCCAAAGTGCGCCCAGCCCAAACCCTCCAACTGTCAGCCCCACACACCCTCCCCACAACGGGTTGTTTTGGTGTGTCTCAGTGCTTTTGCCCAGGAAGCCCCAGGCTGTGCTGTGCTTCCTTGGTGGGCAGTGGGTGATGCATGGATGTGGCTCTGCGCCCTCACCGAGCTGCACACCCCCAATCATCCCCCCCCTCAAGTCCAGGCAGTGGCACTGTGCTCACACCACGACGATGTGCCAGGGGGGGCTGTTCCTATGTGCCCACCCCCACATGGGGTCTGCGCCCACCCTGCAGCCTGGGCAGCCCTGGGTGCTGCTGGAGGGCAGCCAGCTCTGTGTCGAGGCAGACGGCCGCTTGGAAAAACACGCGGCGTTGCTGTGGGTTTTTTTTTTTCTTACATGCAATTATTTTTAAAGCAATTTTCCAGCTATTTTAGATAGGAAGGAAAATGTGGAGGGGAATCTTTTTTTTTTTTTTCTTTCTCCTCCCCCCCCCTTTTTATTCTGGAGTCTTTTTCACCCAGCTATTGGTGCAGTGCTTTGGAAACTCCATTTGGTGGCTGGGACATGGCTGGTGCCTTGGTTCTGTTCCTGCCAACCCCATCCCTACTTGCTACCTCTCAGCATGGAGGCACGTTTCCAGCCTCTGTCCCCTTGTGGATGATGGTGATTGTTTCCTATTTTTGTAGTATGGTCTGGGAAGAAGCGTGGTTGCATCCCTGGGGCCCTGGGTGCCGCACTGGGACCCGGCCCTGTGGGACAGATGGGAATGATGCTTTGGGGTGCAGGGCCACAGCCACAGCCCCAGCCGTAGAGCTGTGTGTTCCTGCCCAGCAGTGGGGAAGCTGTCCTGCTCCGGAAGCTCATGCTGCCTGGCACTCAGCCTATGGATTGTGTCGGGGCTGAATGGCCGGTAGCTGGTGTGTTCCGGGGATTGGGAGCTTCCCCCCAGCCCAATAATGGTTGTCCCTGTCCCCTCTGTATGACTTGCTGGCTTCCCTGAACACCACGTTCTGTCCCCCATTACTCGCATCCCCGTGCCACCCATGACCATGGTGGCCTGTTGGGCTTGCCATGAGGCAAAGGAGCAGATTTGGAAGGGAGATGGCAGGCTGCTGGTGGCTGCATTCCCAGCTGCTGCACATGCCCATAGGGCTGTGACCGTGCCACGTCGCTGCCTGGCTGAGTTGGGCTGGGATCTGCTGCTCTGGGTGCTGCTGGGTGGCACCGCTTCGGCTGGGGTTATTAGAGTTAGTGAGGTACCGGAGCACTCCTGCTAAACAGGGATTACGAAAGGAAAAAATGCCTTCCCTGCAGCTACTGTGACTCAACGCAGGGTTTGGAGGCCGCGGCTCCGCACGTGTGCGCCCACGCTCCTCCCAGCAGGCTCCCGCAGCGGGCTTGGGGTCACGCCTGCACCCCATTAACAGTGCCATAGGGCTGGGAGAGCGGTGGGGAGCCATGGGGACGGCTCTGTGGGCTGGGATGATGTGCTGGGCAGGGATATGCTTTGGAGATGCTCAGGGTCAATGTGCCGCCTGGTGCCCTGCTGTCACAGCTTCCCAGGTGGAGGTGGCACGGGGCTGGCACTGCAATGGCTGTCGGTGCCCTTCGTGCAGTTCTGGGTCTATGGGGCCAAGCGCTGTCCCTGCTGTGAGCAGCAATTTTCCGCATGGCGTGGCTGGCTGCAGGGCTCCTTTTCCAAAGGAGCCAGGGGAAGCTCTGGGTGGAAAGAAAGCAAGAAACCCGATCCACCTCACCGAGCTGAGCGCAGTTTTATTTCCGTCGGGTCAAGCCTGCGAGGTTCCAGCCAAATCATATATTTTGGGCCAAATGAGAAACACGTGTCATCCGCCGAGTCCCATAACCAGAGAAAGATGCTGCGGGTGCATGCTGGGTCCTGCCTGTGGCATGCAGCTCCTCACAGCACAGGCTAGGGACAGGGGGACACTGCCTGGAGGATATGGGGCTGTGACCCTTGCTGCTTCCATGGGGTACCTGGTGTCACCACACAGATGGTGATGTCCCTGCGGCTGTGCCTTGGCCGCAAGCTCAGGCTGTGCTCTTGCAGGTTAATTTTAGCATAATCTCTATTTTTTTTCAAGCTCCTATTCCCCCTCTGTGGCTGGAGTGCAGCACCCCTGCCATGAGCTGCCTGGGGGCCCCTATAAGGGTGGCTCTGCTTTAGGGACGTGCACACCTTGGGCACATGAGGACCGTCTGACACCACTGTGGTGCTGTGTGAGTGGGGGGGCATGGGGCTGGCATGGAGTGTGGCCAAAGAGAGAGAACACAGGGATGGATGGAAGAGAATGCACAAAGTGCTGTGCTTTGGGATGTGGCGTCCCCAGACAGCGCTGCTTGGAGCTCCTTGTGTTGAGGATTTGCTCCAGGCTGTTGTCCCTGCGCAGAGAAGGGACAAGGGATGGGCCGTGTCCCTCTGAGCTTCCCCTTTCAGCTTCCCCTTTCTGCAGCCGGGTGACCTCACTCCTTCCTCCCTCCCAGCATGGGGAGGGAGGGAGGGAGCGACAGATGCACACAGCCTGCCAGAGTGGTGCATCCCCAATGCTTGGGGTGACAGCAGCACTGCCACCGAGGCTGACACATTGCTGAAGCTGTCTGGGTTTTTCCCAGCCATGTAGAAACCCCTGGGTGCTGTGGCACTGCCCTGCTCTGGGCTCTGTTGCTGCTTTAGAAACCCATTGGGTTTTTTCCTTTTTTGGCCCATCCCATGGGGGTCTCTGTGGTGGCAATCCTAGGCTGTAGCTAATGGCTTGTGCCTTACTTCTTCCACAGGTGCTGGGGAGTCCGGGAAGAGCACCATTGTCAAACAGATGAAGTGAGTATCACAGGATCTGCCCTGTCCCTGCAGCAGTGCTGGGGACACCTGGGCACAATGGGGTTGGGCTCCTGGGATGCACAGGACGGTGCGGTGGTGGCTGAAAGTGCCTTGAAAAAAGGGCTGGGATGCTGCCAGTGGGATTTCTGTTATCCCATGTGTCCCCATGTCCCTGCTGCCCAGCTCCCAGAGGCTGGGTGCTCTCCAGGGCGTGAATATTTCATCAGCTGGCAGTGCAAGGGGAGGTGAGCTCAGGTGCCTGTGGTTACACTGGCAGCAGAGAGACACGGTGAAAGCAAACACCTGGTGAGGAGGTGGCAGCATGGCTGGTGGCACTGTGAGCAGGGCACGCTGACCTTGTCCCCTGTCCCCAGGATCATCCACGAAGATGGCTACTCGGAGGAGGAGTGCCGGCAATACAAAGCCGTGGTCTACAGCAACACCATCCAGTCCATCATGGCCATCATCAAGGCTATGGGGAACCTGCAGATCGACTTTGGGGACTCCTCCAGAGCGGTGCGTGTCTCTGTGTGCCTGCTGTGCCCACATCCCTTCTGGGAGCAGAGCCTTCCAAAGCTTAGGTGGCCTTGCCCAATCCCTTCTGCTGTCCCACACTCTGGGACCTCTTAAGGCAGGGAAAACCTGAAGGATGAGTGGTGAGAACGGGGAGGAAAGTTGTGAGTTTCCTGGGCTAGGAAAGGTGATTTTTACCATTCCTGTGTTTGTTTGTTTGTTTTTTTGTCTATGGGCATCTGTGATGGGTTGGGGGAATTGCTGGGGCTCATGGAACTGATGCCTGGTTCTGCTGCAGGATGATGCCCGCCAGCTCTTTGCGCTCGCCTGCACTGCGGAGGAGCAGGGCATCATGCCTGAAGACCTCGCCAACGTCATCCGGAGGCTGTGGGCTGACCACGGGGTCCAGGCCTGCTTCAATCGCTCCCGTGAATACCAGCTGAATGACTCTGCTGCCTAGTGAGTACATTCCTCCTCCTCCTTCTTTTCCTCCTCAGTCTGTTACTATGCCATCCTGTGATGTTAGGGTCGGGGCAGTGCTCCCACAGGTGTGCAGCATCCAAGCTGGGACCCTCCCTGAAGGCATGAGCCCCTCCATGCTGGGCATGGGTCTTCTTCGTATGGATGCTGTTTTCCTCTTGCAAAAAGATAATTGGCACTGGATTTCTTTCTGTGTAGTTTTTTCCTTTTATTTATTTATTTTTTTCCCCCCTGATTGGTACAATGAGCAGGATTGATGGGGATTGCAGGCAGCTCTCGACCCCAGCCCCATGAATGCTCGTCTGTATGGGGAGTGTGTATCATAGAATGGCTTAGGTTGGAGGGTCCTTAAAGATCATCCAGCCCCACTCCTGCCATAGGCTGGCTGCTCCCCAGCTCGGGCTGCCCAGGACCCCTCCATGGCCTGGGGCACCTCCAGGGATGGCAGCCACAGCTCTGGGCAGCAGTGCCAGCACCTCACTGCCCTCTGAGCAAAGAATTTCCCTCTAACATCTCACCTAGATCTCACTTCTTTGAGCATAATGCCATTCCTCCTTGTCCTATCCACGCAGGGAAATATGCCCAATAAAAAATGGGGATGCTTGTTCTGAGCGTAGCACTTGGGACCTCTTGCTTTGTTGTTTTATCGTTTTCAAATGAGTTTATATGGCAGAAATCGGCATTCTGCTGGCGTAAGAGCTGGCAAGCTAGTGCTTGGAGAAGTAAATTGGCTGCATCTGGTTCGGTTTATCCCCAACAAGATTTAATAAATAAGTTAATCTGCCTAAAGCATGATTGCTTTTCTGCACTGGGAAAACGATGCCTGAAAGCCGCTGCTGGAGGAGCTCAGCTGCGGGCTTTTGGAGCCTGGTGTCCATTGTGGTCCCACGTGGGGCTGTGGTGCCCTGTGGGAAGGGCATCCCTATGGCTGTCTGTCCCAGCAGAATGAAGGACAAGCGTTGCTCGGTGCCTGCATCCAGCGGTCGGGGCGATGCCCTGCGCTGTGCCGGGTTATGGATGGGAGCTGTGTGCCTTCCCCTGGCTGACACCGAGGCCGAGGTCCGAGCCCCCAGCCCGGCCCTGCCTCCCCGCCGCTCGCTTCCTGTTTTTGTGGCAGCCGTGAGCCGGCTGATTTCCGGCTGTTTTTAAGCTCTCTGTGGAGGTGTGGTCCGGCCGTGTCACCGCCGTGCTGCCCCACGCCCTCCCTGGGGTCCCCACATCCACGCTCGGCGTCTCCCATAGCCGTGTCCCTGCATTCCGTTGGCGCGGCTCTCTCCGGATTACAGCCCCGTGCAGCGGGCGGCCTGCTTATCGTAACCCAATTAACTCAAGTCGCAGCGATTACAGCTGCTGGGGGCACAGGGCTGTCCGTGGCGGGGCCGAACCCTGCACCGCTTCCTGCAGGACCGGCCCTTTGTGTGAGTGTGACTGCAGCGGCAAAGTGCCAGCAGCGGTTTCCGCTGGGCCGCGGCCCGTTGTCGTGGTGATGAATGCTTTCCTCCTTCCGTTTCCCTGGGCTGGGAGCGTCATGGCGGTGCGGGCACGCTCCCCTGGGCCACGTCACCTGCAGGCCCTGTGTCCCCGGTGGTGGGGTCTAGTGGAGATGCCTGGCTTGGCTTTGCCCCCCCCCACTGCCCACCTGATGCCATCCTGCCCTCCCTTCCAGCTACCTGAACGACCTGGAGAGGATAGCGCGGGCCGACTACATCCCCACCCAGCAGGACGTGCTGCGCACCCGGGTGAAGACCACCGGCATCGTGGAGACTCACTTCACCTTCAAGGACCTGCACTTCAAGTAGGTCTTGCTGCAAACCCTCGGCGCGCCAGCCTGGCGCTGAGCTGCTGCTGGTGATGGAGGTCGGGGTTGGCCAAGCGAGGCTGCGCAGCACCTCTCTGTGCTCACCCAGGGCTTTGGAGGGTGCGGCGGGGATGGGCAGGGTGGCCCTGGGGGGACAAAGCAGTGGCAGAGCCTCCCAGCAGGTGAGCGAAGGGACAGGAGGCAGAAAAATCCATCCCTGAGGATGTGGTGCTCTGCGGAGCCTGGGCATCCTCTGGTGCCCACAGAGGGAGAGACACATGGCTCACATTATCCTCCATAATCCCATCTGTGCATCCCCAGCCCAGCACTGGTGGTACATAATGGCAGCGCTTCAGTGGGAGGCATCACCCAGCTCTGCTGGGGGAACCAGGCAGGGCTGGGGGTGCAGGAGTTGGGGTGCTGTTCACCCAGACTGCCGTTGCCCTGCAGGATGTTCGATGTGGGCGGCCAGCGCTCAGAGCGGAAGAAGTGGATCCACTGCTTCGAGGGGGTGACAGCCATCATTTTCTGCGTGGCCCTGAGTGCCTACGACCTGGTGCTGGCAGAAGACGAGGAGATGGTGAGTGAGGGGATGGAAGTTCAGGTTTTGGGTGCTCCGGGAGATCCCTACCCCATGCTGCTGGCAGTGACCCACTACCCCATTGTGGTGGTGGCTGCTGGCTTGGTGCAGCAGTGTGGGGAGCCCGGTGCCCAGATCCAGGGCCAGTGGCTCATGGGGTGGCAGCACTGCCTGATGCGGTGCCCTTCCTCTGATAGAACCGGATGCACGAGAGCATGAAGCTATTTGACAGCATCTGCAACAACAAGTGGTTCACGGATACATCCATCATCCTCTTCCTCAACAAGAAGGACCTCTTTGAGGAGAAGATCGTGCACAGCCCCCTGACCATCTGCTTCCCAGAGTACCAAGGTGCGCATGTGCTGCCCCTATCTGGGCTTCATCTGCTGCATCCCCTTGCCTTGGGGTTCCAGGGGAGAATGGCAATGGGAACAGTGGCTCTGTTGGCTCTGAGTGTGGGGTCCCTGCTTCAGCAGCCTCTGGGACTCCTTGCAAGAATCTTTAGGGCTGGTCGGGTGGCCCTGAGGTGTGGGTCCTGCTGTGGTCATTGCACCTTGAACATAGTGCAGCTTGGGGCAGAGGGTTGCCCATGGCACTGTGGAATTGGGTGGCACTTGGGGTGCTGTGGGGACAGGGGAGGGGTTTGGAAAGGAGTGGAGGAGCTGGGCTGGGAGTAGCCCTGGTATGAGGCTTATTGGGTGCCCAGGCTGCACCTGGACATGCTCTTAAGGTAATGTGTGGATAAAGCAGAGGTGATGAGAAGAATAAGAGGCTTAGGAAGCCATGGAGGCTGAGATGGGGGTGGGCAGTGAGGGAGCCCTGGAGCTGCACTGTGCACCCTGTGAGCACGGTGGTTACTCTGCCCTGCCATAGTGCTCAGGCTGGTAGCATTTTGATGAGCTATATCCCAGCATGACCTCTTGGCTAGATTAGTGAGGCAGCTTTGATGTAGCTTTGTGGGAGGCTGTGGGGCCTGGGGGGCCGTGGCAACATCATCTCTCCCTCCCCAGGTGCCAACAAGTACGATGAGGCTGCCAGCTACATCCAGAGCAAGTTTGAGGACCTGAACAAGCGGAAGGACACCAAGGAGATCTACACACACTTCACCTGTGCCACCGACACCAAGAACGTGCAGTTTGTCTTTGATGCCGTCACTGACGTCATCATCAAAAACAACCTGAAGGACTGCGGGCTCTTCTGAGGGCGGCAAGGTGGGCACGGGGCCCCTCCAAGATCCGCGAGTGCCATCCCCATCCTGCTGCCCACCACCTCCCCTGACCCCATATCCATCCTGCTCATGGCTTGCTCTCTCCTAGGACGCACCGATGAAGGGAGGACCGTGCCCAGTGATTCTGCTTCTCCTCTGGTTTCATCCCCCAACCCTCTAAAGAGACGTTTTGGTGACGGCCGTGGTGGCAGCGATGGGGACGCACTGCCTGTGATGCCTGACCCAGGGCTGTCCTCACTTGCCTCCAGTGTCCCCCCACACCCCTCTGCCTTCCAGGCCAGGGACAGGAGGATTTCTCTCTTGGTTTGTAACCGGTCGCCATCTCTCCAGTCTGTCCTTTTTATTCGGTTCCGCACCGTTTACATCCAAAACGTGTTGGCAGGGGGCGCGGAGCTCCCGGCATCGCAGGGGCCGGCGATGGGACCCCCCCAGGAAACACAACCGAAAACATTCCTTTTAATAACCAGAAAAAAAAAAAAAAAAAAAAAAGCCACACACACACACACACATCCATCCACCCACACACACACACACACACACCAAGCTTGGTTTACGTTGCTTTTTAAAGAAACCTTTTTAAGAAACTATTTAAAAGCGTCAAGTGCTAAGTGGTCGTGTCGTCTTCGTGCAGGTAATGCCGAAACCGTGTGCCTTGCAGGGGGGTCCCCTTTGTCTGGCGCCGGGCTGGGGGGAGAGGGCTGGTGCCCCCCTGCCCCTCTCTAATAGGGCCTAGCAGGTAGGGCTAGCTGTGCCGGGGGGCAGACCCTGCTGTATGGAGCTGCCCTCCCTCCCCCCTCTCTCTCTCAGCTCCTGCTTTTCCCACGGGATGTTTTTCCGAATTGTTCACGTGATTTGAGATAATAAAATGTAGAAAGGAAAAAAAAAAAAAGAAAAGAATGACCCCTCCACACCTTCTGCATCAATGTGGGGGGTGATGTGGCTGCTTTTTTCCTTCTCTGTGGGTGTCTGGGGGGAGGGAGGGGGTAGGGAAAGTAGGAGAGGCTTGGCAGCAATCTGAGGCCCCCTTTGCATATGGAGTGGGACATGTGGGCTCAGAGCTCCCCCTGGGTGTCCATAGGTGGGTGGGTCCCTTGCAGGCTGGCACTCACCTGGGGATGCCATCATGATGTGATGGTGCTATTCCCTGGGCATCCCGTGGTCCCCAGGGGGATCCAGCACCCCTCAGCACCAAGGGATGCCCCAGGACCTCAGGTGTCACCCAGTGCCCACCAGCACCCAGGCATGCATGCATGTTGGGGGCTGGCTGGTGGAATGCTCTGGAGCTGCACAGGTCACATTGCTGGGGTTTGGGAACAAGCAGAAGCGGTGGCAGAGGGTGGGCAGGGGACACCAGTGGGATGGGGGCTGTAGGGGCTGGGGCTCAGAAGAGCCCACAGTCCTTGAGGTTCTCCTTGATGATGATGTCGGTGACGGCGTCGAAGACGAACTTGACGTTCTCAGTATCAGTGGCACAAGTCATGTGCGAGTAGATCTCCTTCACGTCCCGCCGCATGTTCAGCTCCAGGAACTGCAGCTTGATGTAGTTGCCAGCATCATCATAGGTGTTGGGACCTACAAGCAGGGCCATGGGTCCCCAGCACCCCACAGCCTCTATATTCCCCTGCCATCACCCCACAGCCCAGACTTTTGGCTGGGTGCTTAAGGTGCTGGGGACACCTGGTGGGTGTCTGACAAAGGATGCTAGTACCCAAATTCCCCACCCAGGGTGAGCGTGACTGCTCTCACCATCGTAGTCAGGGAAGCAGATGCTGAGGTGAGCCTTCTTGATCTTCTCCAGGAAGACGTCCTTCTTGTTGAGGAAGAGGACAATAGAGGTGGTGGCAAAGTAACGGTGGTTGCAGATGCTGTTGAAGAGGTGCAGGCTCTCGTGCATGCGGTTCTGTGGGAGGACACAGCCCCATCAGCCCCCCGGCAGCTCCCCAGCTCCCTAGTACCCCTTGGCACGGCTACCTACCACTTCATCATCCTCCACCAGCACCATGTCGTAGGCGCTGAGCGCCGCGATGAAGATGATGCACGTCACCCCCTCGAAGCAGTGGATCCACTTCTTGCGCTCCGAGCGCTGTCCTCCCACATCGAACATCCTGCAGGGCAGGACCAGGGAGCTCAGCATCCCTCCCCACCCCCTGCCCCAGCACTTTGGGGCTCAGCCCCTACCTGAAGTTGAGGTCCTTGAAGGAGAACTGGGTTTCGATGATGCCGGTGGTTTTGACACGGGAGCGCAGCACGTCCTGCTCGGTGGGGACGTAGCCAGGGGTCACCAGGCGCTCCAGGTCCGACAGGTAGCTGGTGGGCACAGTGTGAGGCATGTCCCACCAAGGGTGCCCCCACCCACCTGCCCATCCTGCACCTACTATCCTGCTGAGTCGTTGAGCTGGTACTCAGAGGCCCGGTCAAAGCAGGCCTGGATGCCTGCATCCTTCCAGAGCCGCCCAATGATGTCCGACATTTCCTTGGGCATGGTGCCCTCCTCAATGGTGTCCGAGAGGTGCAGCAGCTTGCGGGCATCATCCTGCAAGGGATGGGGGCTCAGTGGGGATGGGGACCAGGGTACAGCTCCACACCCCATGCTGGGGGCCCCTCACCTGGCGGGCAGAGTCACCGTACTGAATGTTGAGCGTGGTCATGGCACGCACGATGGCCAGCATGGACTGCAGCGTGTTGCTGTAGATGATGGCGATGAACTCCAAGCACTCCTCCAGTGAGTAACCATCCTGGTGGATGATCCTGGCCAAGACAGGGGCATGGGGCTGGGTGGGGTGCTGAAAGCACCCATGGGGCTGAGCTATAGGGTAGGGGCACTTGTGGGCACTGAACAGGTGAGTAGGGGTACCCATGTGGGTTGATAATAGGGTGGTGACACCCATGGAGCTGAACTGTAGGGTAGGGGCACTCTTGGGGCTGAACTATAGGATGGGGGCACCCATGGGGCTGAACTGTAGGATAGGAGAACTCACGGAGCTGAACTGTAGGGTAGGGGCACTCCTAGGGCTGAACTATAGGATGAGAGAACTCATAGGGCTGTACTTCAGGGTGGGGGCATTTGTGGGGCTAGAAAATGAGGCAGAACCACCCGTTGCTGCAGTGTGGGCACTGAGGGGTAGATGCTCCCCTGGCTGTGGTGTGGGACAGGTAGGAGGCATGGTGCTGCCCACGGGACTTACTTCATCTGCTTGACGATGGTGCTTTTCCCTGACTCCCCTGCTCCTGTGGGGACAGAGTGCGAGCACAGTGGTGACCACAGCCGTGATCACCACAGGGGGACACAAGGAAACAGGGAGAGAGGCAGCTAGGTCTGGGGGGGCACTGTGGTGGTGTTGCTGGGGGCTCAGTCAAGGGTGTGCTGGGGGATCTGGGGGTAGGGATGAAGATGAGGATGAGGTGGGGATGGAGACACAGCAGTGGGACATTGCAGGGGGGTGCAGACAGAGCCTGGACATGGGGATGGATGGTAACCAGTGGGGGAACTGAGGGGCACTGGGAGAGGGACCTGGAGTGCTGGGAGGATGCAAGGGCAGCATCTACGGGGAACATGGAGGGATCTGGGGGTGCTGGGGCAGAGTTGGGGTGCTTGGTGGTGTGGGGGTTTTGGATGGGCTGAGTTTCAGGGGTGCTGAGGAGTCTGGGGCTACTGGGTTTTGAAGCATGAGGATGCCACGGGGGAGGATGAAGCATCCCCCGGAGCTGTGCCCACCTACCCAGCAGCAGCAGCTTGACGGTCCTGGCATCCTTCTCGGCGTCCTCCTTCAGCTTCTTCTCCAGCTCACGGGAGTGCTTCTCCTCGGCACTGGCCCCTGCGCCCATCCTCGCCTCCGCCGCCCGCCGGCTCGCCCGCTCGGTGGAGGTCAGCACCAGGACGGGCAGCGTGCGCCAGCCCCCCGCCGCCTCCAGCGCTCGCCCACCGCCCGACTGCGGCCGCCGCTGCCACCCAAGTGGGCCAAGGACGGGGACAAGGAGCGCGGCTTAAGCCAGGCTCCGGATAAAGCCCCGAAATCTGCCCCGGGCTGAGCTCAGCAATCCCCTGGCTCCCGGCGTCAGCGCTTCTGCGGAGAGGGCGCCCAGCTGTCCCCGCCCAGACTTGGTGGCCCAATGTCCCCAGGCTGTGGCTATGCCCCATGGCAGGGATGTCTCTGCTGGCCCCAGCCATGGATATGGCCTGACAGTGGGGATGTCCCCATTGTTCCCAGCCACGGGTATGGTCCCACTCCAGGGATGTCCCTGCTGTTCCCAGGCCATGGGTATGGCCTGGTAGTGGGGATGTTCCCTATCATCCCCACATCCCCTCTGTGAACCGTCCCGAGTTGCACCCTCAAGAACTGATGTCATTGTACCCCAAGTGTCATCCCCACCCCCGTGTCCCAAGCCCTTTCCAACACCCTCGTAATGTCCCCATCTGTTCTCAGTGCTCCTTGCCCCAGCCCCCTGGCGTCCCTAGGTCTCACCCCACGCCACCAAGGACACCCCGTGTCCCGTCCCCTGTCAGTGTCCCCCACAGTGTGTCCCCATTGCCACCAAAGCACCCCCATGTCCCGAGGAACACCCCTCTGTGTCCCCCAGCCCCGTGTCCACCAGTACAGCGCCCGTCCCCCAGCTCCAGCATCCTACGCTGTCCCCAACGTCCCCCCGCCTCCTCCGCGGGGTTCCTGCAGTTCCGAGTCTGGCCGCCAGAGGGCAGAGCGACCCAGCATAGCGCAGCACAGCTCTGCAAAGAGCAGCGCAGCCAGCACAGCCCAGTACAGTCCAGTACAGCCCAGTACAGACCAGCACAGCCCAGCACAATGCAGCAGAGGCCAGCACAGTCCAGTACAGTCCAGCAGAGACCAGCACAGAACTGTACTATCCCCGCAGTGCTACCAGTACTGCCTCCAGTACCCCCACTGCTGTCCTACTCTGGCCATGCCTGACGCCAGTGCCCCCAGTGGGAACTGTAAGTGCCCCAGTAGTGCCCACCATGGCTTCCTGCGTCATGTTCCCGTGCCCAGTGTCCCCTCCAACACCCTGCAGTGTTCCCAGCACCCCACCATGTTCTCTCCTGGATCCCACCCCCAGAGCTCAGCGATGTCCCTGTCCCCAACAGAGCACACACAGGCGTCTGTCCCAAAGCCAGTGTTTATTTGGGCGTGCTGCAGGCTGTGGGGAGGGGGGACACCTGGCCACCCCTGCACTCCTCCCCTACAACTATTTACAACCCCAGCGACGGGCAGGATGCCCCATTTCACCCCTTCTGGCCGTGTCCCCATCATGTGGCCTGTGTCCTGTCCCCAGCAGGGGACAAGGCCATGTCTCTGTGCCTGCAGCCCAGCCTCCTCCCAGCTTTGGCTCCAAAATAACCAGAAGAGGAAACCGAAGCACTGAGACTGAGCTCACCCAGTGCCACCTCTCACTGTTCGTTTGTCCCCTCCCATCACTGGCTCGTCCCCCTGTGTGTGGCAGCGCCATTCCCCGAAGGGCATCACCCCTCCTGCACCAGGACCACCCATCACACCAGGACCCAGAGCCCCATGGAACTCCAGGAAGGGGAGGGACGAGATGCGCAGGATGCAGCCACCCCCAGGTCCACCACCGTCCCCAGCGCTGGGGGGGTGATGTTGGTGTCACCCCAGTGACTATGTACAACCTGCAAATAAATACCACCGCCGGCAGGAGACAGCGGGAGGGGGCAGGGGTGTGAGCATGCGTGCGTGTCTGCCTGCATGGGTGTGGGTATATATATATATTTATTTATTTATAGATATTTTTTTTTTAATATTAAAAGGAGGGAAAAATAGACCATTGTGCTAGCAAAGTCCCTGGGGAGGGGTTCATGTGTGCCCGCAGCTCTCTGGCGGGTGATTCCGGCGGCTCCGTGGCTTCTTCTGGTCCTGCAGCTCCTTGGCTTTGAGGGCAGCCAGCGGCTCGGGGGGGCCGGAGGCCGGCGGTCGCCAGAAGCCCTGGCAGTACTGGTCGAGGAGTCCCAGCTCGGGGCGGGTGAGCAGCTGCAGCAGGTCCTGGTAGCGCGGCGTTGGGGCTCCCGGCAGCGCGGCAGGGGGCAGCTCGCCTTGCAGCAGGACGGCGTGCACGGCGCGGGCGGCCAGGACACGCAGCTGCACCTTGGTCACCGTGTGCTTGAAGTTGTTCTCGGTGGCGGTGCAGGAGTAGAGGCCACTGTCGGAGAGCTGCAGGGCACGCAGCAGCAAGCCCTGCTCTGTCCGCACTGCCCGGCCGCCCTCTGTGCGCAGCTGTTGGGACAGAGGGGCTCAGCTGGATGCCAACCAGCTGGACCCCACGCACAGCGCCCGGCTCCTACCTCTTTCCGTCGGTCGCTGTTGTCCTTCTGCAGCAGCCACTTGACGGTGGCTTGTGGTGAGCGGGGCTGGCACTCGAGGAAGGCGGTGCTGCCCTCCACCCCATACTGCACGGCCTCCACCGTGTTCTTGTTGGCTGCAGGAGCAGGACGTGGCAGTCAGGTCACACACACGTCCCCAGGCCCCATCTCCCTCCCGAACGTGTTGCTCTGCCCCATGCAACCGAAGCATCCATGCGTGTTCTTCCTTCTTCTGAATGCATCTATCCATCCATCCACGGTCATTCTCCTTTGAAGCATCCCATACTTTTCCAATATACCCACCCACACACCCACCAGCCCTCAAGGCCACCCACCCACTCATCCCACTCATCCCATTGCCCACATTCTCCCACATCCCACCACTCATGCCTCCCCAGGTCCTGCCCCACCACTCTGCCCCCAACACTCTGGGGTTATGCCATGCCCACTCACCATTGGAGTTGTAGCCTCGGCACTGGCGCATGGGGTTGCCGTGCCGGACATCCTGCCGCCTGCTCCGCCTGAGAGGAGGCAGGAGGTGACCTGGGGTCCCTTCTTGGGCCCCCCTGCCCTCCCCCAGATCCCCACCTCTTGGAGGATGCTGAGTAGCGGCTGCAGGCCTTGCCATCCCAGGCACAGTATGGGTCGCGGGCCAGGCAGCAGTCAGCACAGGCTTCTCCATATACGTCGCACCGGTGCAGGGCCAGGTGGGTCACTCCTACGGCTGAGGACACGTAAAGCTGTTGCTGTTGGGGGAACAGAGAGGACAGGGTAAGATGCCCCCTGGCCACATGGCCTTGTGCCCAGTACTGGGAGCAGTGGGGACCATGCATCCCAGAGCCACTAAGGGGTACACGTGGGCCTCTCCGATGGCCACTGTCATACTATGGTGGCAACAGCCATCCAGGATATCCTAGTCCCCAAATCTAGCCACACATCACTCACCCTCTTGGAGGAGATGGTCATCACCTTGATGGGTGCTGGCACCTAGATGGGAGCAGGAGTGAAGGACATGGAGTGAAGTACAGAGTGCATCCCCCAGGCCCACGCCAGTAGCTGGGGGCTGCAAAGGCAGCCATAAGAATCAGCAGGAAGAGGGACAATGTTGCATGTCTCCCTGGAACTACTTATGGGACTGGTTGGTGTCCCAAAAGCTCCAGGGCTGGGACAATGACACTTGGTGGCGGTGGTGTCCCATCAGTTCTGGGCATGGGGTGAGCAAAGGAAGCTCAGCAGCAGCTGTAGGATAACCCAGCCCTTACCTTGAACACCTCGATCTCCTCCAGCATCAGCTCCTCTGTCTCCATGTCGTCCCGGGGCAGAACAATGACTTTCTGCACCGTGCCCCGATCTGCAAGACACCAGGGTGCCTGGACGCTCAGTGCCACCAGATGGGCACCCGTGCCCTCCCCTCCTGGGAATGGGGTCCTTGATGGGGCCAGGAAGGACCCCCCATCTTCATCTGTCTTGGTTGTGCTGTGACACTCAAGTCACCACTCAGAGCTAGGAGCTGCCACTGCCCAGGACAGGGGGACAGCAACTGGGATAGGCACTGGGTTTGGAAAAGACCAGGGTAGATCATGGCAGCCCTTGGATGGACAATAAGGAAGGGGAAGCACCAGGCTGGACAACGGTGGTCCTGAATGAGGCAGGAGAGTTGGGCGTGGGCCATGGAAAGGATCAGGCTGGATGTCCTAGGATAGACACCGAGACAGCGGATAGACCAGGCTGGATGGCGCTGTCCTAGGATGGACACCAGGGCAGGGGACAGGCCATGACACTCCCAGGGTCCGTGGCACAGGGGTCTCAGCCCCTTGCCCTGCTCCACCATGGAGCAGAAGTGCCAGCAGAGGCACCCAGCCCCGGCAGTGCCCGTGCCCTGCGAGGCCGCGCTGGAGCATGCTGCGTTCTCTGCGGTGCGCGGCGTGGGTACCTGTGCCCAGGAAAAGCACCTCATAGCGCCCATCTGCCGCGTCCACCTGGTCAACAGCGATGGTGGTGAAGCGGTAGTTGACGTTGGTGCGCACAACCAGAGGCTGCCGGTGGGCTGGATAGACGGCGTGGTACATCAGAGGGTGCGAGCGCATGAAGTTGATCACTTCGTCAGGGTAGTCCTTGGTTGACTTCATAGAGGGTGTGAAGGTCCCTCCGGGGCACTGTGGGCAGGCAAAAGGCGTTGGTGGGGTCTCCGGTGCCCTGGGACTATCATCTCCATGAGTGCCAGAGGTCTGACTTACAGTGCCTGGCCGGGGATAGGGCATTTTGCCCGTGTAGGGCATCCACTGGTAGTTGGGGCCCTCCTTGTGCGCAAAGGGCCCATTGAACACCATGCGGATGTCGGCCATGGAGTAGACGCAGACGGCCGAGCCCTTGAACACTGACCTGGCAGGAGGAGTGGCACAGCCTCAGGGATGTGTGCCACCTACGTGCTGACACCGCCAGCATCGCCACCTCACCCCACGCCCACTTCGATGTCATCAGGACCTCTACCCACCTCCACAAAAAGTCCCCATCCCCAGGGACCACCACGTCTCAAGGGCACCGACTCACCCCGATGCGGAGAAGACAGCGTAGATAACAGGATTCTTGCTGTCCTGCGTCTGCTGGATGAAGACATCCTCTTGGGACAGAAGGAAGAGCATGTTACCCCCAGGGGGTGGCTGGAGACACCTGTGTGGGCTGGGCTCTCCCATGGTGGGGCAGCAATGGAATTCTCAGCCCTCCCAAATGGATAATGAGCCATGTCCCCACCCCAGGGATGGACCATCAGGGGTCACCCCGTGCCCGCCCATGGAGCCCATGCACTCACGAAGCTCATCAAAGTGCGTCTCGATCCCATCGGGTCCTGGCACGGAGCAGACGAGCCGGGCCTTCAGGAAGGTGCTCCATTTGTTCACCAGGCAGCAGTGTCCCCCATCATCGTTCTGTGTCAGAGGGACTCAGCACTCAGCCCCACACACCCCACCACCAGCCCCTGCCTGCACCCCACCACCCCACTGCACACACCAGGCAGATGCGCCCAATGCGGGAATAGACCCCGGGGCTGAGCGGGGCATCTGCAGACTTCTCCCGGAAAAAGAAGTAGAGTTTGTCATCGTTCCTCTCGCTGCTGTCAGGGATGAGCTGGGCACGGACGAAGGCAGGGTCTGCAAGGGCATGAAGCAGTGCTGTCAGCCTGGAAACGCTCACAGCCCCCGCTGCTGCAAAGCCACCAGTGTGATGGCTTCCCCTCGTCATCCATCAGCCTGTGCCCAGCCAGTGCTGACAGCTCCCCCTCCTCGATCCCTGCCCCGGCAGCCCTCACGCCCAGCAGGACCACCCCATCTGCTCTGCTCTGTTTATTCAGCTGCAGCTCTGGGGCCGGGGGTGCTCTATGGGGGCAGGAAGAGCGCTCAGGGTCACTGGCTACGGGGACATGGTTGAACGGTCAGCTCTGTGAAAACCCATACACAGGCTCTGGCAGTGGCAGCACTGCCTCTCACCAGCTGGGTGCTCCCACCACTCTGCAAAGCCCCAGCATGTCTGTCACCATGCCCCATAGAGGTATCCCTCTGTCCATCTGCTCTAGATTTCCATTCATCCATCCATCCATCTATCTATCCATCCATCCATCAATCCATCCCTTCCTTCCTCTCTCCCTCCACCTATCCATCTATCATCCATCCATCTGTCCACTCATTCACCCACCCATTCATCCTTCATCTTTGCACCCACCTGTCATTCATTCATTTGCCCATCCATCTATACATCATCCATCTGTCAATCCATCCATTTGTCATCCATCCATCCATGCACTCACCCACCTGTCATTCATTCATTTGCCCATCCATCTATACATCATCCATCCATCCATCCATCCATCCATTCACCACATCTGCATCAGTCCATCCTCCTTTCCACCCCACCATCCATGCGCCTGCCCCTGGCTGCCGCCTCTGGGACACCATCTATCTCATCCCTATGGTCAGAGCACAGGATCCCCAGGGCACCCCATACCAACCGTTGAGCCAGCGTGAATTGTACTGGTCTGTCCTCATGGCCGTCTGCTTGCCCATAGTGCGGAAGATGGCTGCATCAGTGCCCATGAAGTCAATGTAGACCCCGGCATAGAGCTCTTCATCTGCAGAGGGAAGGGATCAGGCCCCCAGGTCCCTGCACCTTTTCCCGTCGTCCCATCCAGCCCTGGCCAGGAGTCAGCAGGCAACCAGGAGATGCTGCCTCTGTCCAGCCCGCAGAGCAATGGAGGATGCTACCAGCATGCAAGGAACCCTCAGACAGTGCCTGGTGCCCGAGTGCCTGCAGCAGTGGGAGCCCAGCTGCCTGGGGACGTTGGGGTGATGTGGGCAATGTCCCCTCCACCCAGCCCTGGCAGCCACAGGACTCACTTATCAATGCAGAGACGGTGTCCACTTTGGGGTCATAAGAACACTTCCCTTTGCCTGACTCCAGTTTGTCCGGCTCTAGGTAGAAGATATAATCCTGGAGAAGGAAGCAGAACAAGGAGCTTGTGACAATTTCCCCCTCCATCCCCACGGCACATTCTGAGGCAGAGGCCTCTGTGGGATGGAGTGCGGTGGCTGCAGGTGCTGCCAGCAGAGGATGGATGCGGTGGGATCCTGTCGGGGTCTGCAGGGCTCCTGGGAAGTCGAGGTCTGCAGGAGGTGCTCCTCAGTGTATGTTGGGTGCCGCTCCATGCCCTCCATCACGTAGGTCCATTATTGCTTGCAGGGTTCCTACACTGCTTCCAGGCCCATCAGCATGGAGGGACAAAGCTGTTGCAGGGGCTGCTTGGAGCTCTGGGATCATACCAACTCCAGTCCTTTGCAGGCAGGGTTTGGCTGCAGGCACAGCCGTTGAGGAACTGTCTTCCACCAACATCCACCGGCTGGTTCAGGGCCTGCCACCCCCACCGCTGGGAGCTGCTCTCTTCGCTGCCACTGCGACAAACCTGGCACCAACCCCTATGCCAGGGTGAAACGAAATCCACTTCCCGTAGATCATGTGGAACCTCCTGCCCTGCCAGCCCAGGGCATGCAGGGCCAGGCAGCGATGTCCTGCGTGTCCCCAGCATGCACAGCAAGGCAGCAGCAATGCCTGTACCCTGCGTGCCTCAACGATAGGACAAGCAGGGTCCCTACAGAAGACAGGCTGGAGAGCTGAGTGGGGCCACCACCATCCTGCTGGCCAGCTACAGCAAACCTGGGGACAACAGGATGCTAATTGCTGGGATGCTAGCCATGGGGCAGCTGGCTATGGAGATGCTAACCTTGTAGATGCCAGTTGTGAGGATGCTAGCCATGGGTCTACTGGCCATGGCACACTAGCCATGAAGAGGTTAGCCACAGGGATGCTGGCCATGGAGATGCTATTTGTGGAGACACTAATTATGGAGACACTAGTAGTGGGGATGCTGGCCATGGGGATGTTATCTGTGTTGATACTAGCCATAGGAACAACCAGTTTCAAGGCCATCATCCATGGGGACATCATCCATGGTGAAGACAGACATGGGGATGCTAGTTGCAGGTACACTTGCCACAAGGATGCCAGACACAGGGATGGCAGCTGCTTGAGGCTTTCCTCTCTCAATGCATCCCTTGATGCAAGACTTGCTCATGCCAGCTTCTCCTGGCCCACTGGCACCCAGCCCAGCACATAGAGGTGGGCACGGCCCCACTTGTACACCTCACTATTGCCATCCTCATTGCCACACCATGTTTCTGTTGCTGCCACAAGCTTCTCCATCCCCAGCCCTGCTGGCAACCCATCCATGGGATGAGCCACATCACCTCCCCACTGGGCAAGCTGTGAGCTGATGCAAGTGCTTCATTTGCACTGGTGCTTCCCCACTGGCAATCAGAAATACATCCAGCCTCAGCACAAGGAAGGAGGTGCCTGTGGCAGAGCTGGTGGCTGAGAGCATCACGCTGTGCCCTCCTAATCTGTGCTGATGGGGATGTCCCTTTCAGAGAGAAGGGGACGCGGCAGGGACAGAGACAGGCAGGACCTGTCCATGTGTCTACACGTGCCCTGTCCCATGCACTGACCCATGTTAGTCCAAGGGGAGACACTGTCAGGGCAGGCTGGATGCTGGCTGTCCCCAGAACCTGGGGATGTCACCTCCCTGACTCCACTGATGGAACGAGGCCCCCTCCCCAGGCAGGGCAAAGCAGATGGATGCTGGCCAGGCAGCTGCTCAGCAACATTTTTGTAGACCCTACCAAAACACCTCCAGCAACACGGCTCTCTTGAGCCCCCTGCCTCTGCTGACAAATGGATTTGCAGGGACGCAGCAAGCCTGGAGACAGGCTGAGGGGTGACAGCCACACCTGACAGTGTCCTCTTGGGGACGAGGAGGAAAGAGTTAGTGAGAGCAGGAGAGAGGAGACGCCGGGCCGGCCGCCGCAGAGCACTTTGCAGAGAGAAGGGGAGGCAGTGGGGGGGAGCCACAGCGAAGGGCCCCCAGCCCAGGAGCTGCCGGTGGGAAGAAGGAGCCCGCAGCTCCAGTGCGAGGCGGGCACAGCGGCGGCGGGCCCCCAGACCCGTTCCCACCTTGCTTTCTGCTGGTCTTGGGCTGCGGGGGCCATCGGTGGCTCTGCTCTCCCGGCCTCCCGTCTGGAGGGGCTGGCTCGGCGGAAAGCCCTGGGGAGAAGGAGCAGGGCACAGAGTTAGCATGAAGGGGGGACGGAACCCCCGGGCTGTGGGCTGCGGGATGGTGCTGGCAGCCTGTCCCCATGGCACCGTGCGTGGCACCGTGCTCCCTGCTGGTTCTGCAGGGACAAAGAGCCTCGTCCCCAGGGCTGTCCGATGCTGTCCTCGGAGCGCATCCCTGATAACCTCTGAGTGCTGTGACAGTGAAATGCCACCGGTGGTACCAGGCTGGAGCAGTCTGAGCCTCTCCCTGTGGCAGTAGTGGAGCACTGGGCTGCCCCATCCTCACGCAGCACCACGTTTCCTTCAGTTTGGCTTGCTCCTGTCCTCGAGGACAGGACCCAGGGGCAGAGGTCACCTGGTTGGCACACCCTCATGGCACACCGCAGCGGTCACCCAAAACTTCTTCCACTGCACATCCAATCCAACATGCGGGGCTCCACAGCCTCTCTCTCATATCAAGCTGTGCTCATCAGGGCAGGGTGATGTTCTCCGTCGTTGGCATCCAAGCATCCCATGGGACATGCCACCATTGTCCCTGCTCACTCATGGCACCAGGCCACCACGTTCCTCCTTGTGGAATGCTGGCACTGGAGCAGTGCAGGGCACATCCAAGCTGAGGGGCTTCACGCAACAGCACTTCCCCTGCTGGATCGGCATAGGGCTGGTGTGGGGTCCAGTGGATCCCGGTGCAGAGAGAAGTCCTCACGCTGCAGAACAGTCTCGGCCATGCTCAGCCTCACCTCGCTGGAGCTCAGCCTGTCACAGTCCCCCAAGCTCCCTGGCACTGGCCCCAGGATGAGCCCTCCTGCACGGGCACCACTGCAGCCCCCATCCCCCCACCCCTTACCTGTGCTTTGCGCCCACGGTTGATGAAGGCGCAGATGGGGTTGTAGGCACCGGTGCCACACACATAGAGGTGAGTCCGGTTCCAGGGCTGGATCAGGCGGATGAAGTTGCCACACTCCCCCTGGGAAGGAGAGGATGGTGGCAGCTATGCGAGGGACCAAGGGCAACATACACAGCAGGATCCTTGGGCAACATCCCAGTTATACTTGGGGTGGCACTGTAGGGTCCATCCCCCAGGGGAAAGGCTGGGAAGGCAGGAAGGAGACCATGGTGCCAGGAGGATGGCATATGGCATGGGGCTGGTGCAGGGCAAGACATGGTGTGAACCACAGGTTGGCATGGGCCATGGATTCATATAGACCATGGGCTGGTGTAGATCATGGGCTGATGCGGGTCATGGCTTTGGCACACCTGAGGGCACAGCCCTGACAGTGGGATGAAGATTTGTAGAGAGCTCTGCTCATCTGGGACAGAAAGGTCAGAAGGACATGGTCACATTTGGGACTGTCACCCCTGTCTTGGCAAGTCCAAGGCCATGGCTCTTCCACGGGAGGAAATGAGAGCATGAATCGCCATCAGCACAGTGGCCACCAACCCCTTGCCATTCTCAGAAGTGGGTTCATGGTGGCCATCAAAGCCCTGGGGATGACTGCAGCAACCGATGGCACGGGGACTCGAAAGTCACCGACAACCCAAGCCGGGCCCCAGCAGGATACCAGCCCTCCACTCGCTGGGTGACACTCACATTGCTGTTCTTGCCCGATAGGATGCACTCCTCGATCCTCTGCTGGGAGGCAGGCCAGTGGATCTGCGGAAACATCGGAGATGAGGAGCAGGGCTGCTGGCCCCACACCATCCCATCCCACAGAGGTGGGCCACGAGGTAACAGCTTACGATGAGGGGCTCGCGGTTGATGTCGTGCAGGTCCAGCGAGAGGACATAGTCCTTGCTGCCCACGTACATGCGGTCGTGGTCCTCGTCCTTCAGCAGGATGCGGTAGTCACTGGAGTTGAGCAGGAAGTTGAAGAAGTGTGCGGTGCCGGTGGCCTTCAGCTCTGCGGGGCCAATGGGCACACGTCAGCCAACGTTCCCCAAACCTCTGCCATCACCCCTCCATTCCTGTGCCCTGCTGCAGAAGCGTCCCCGTGTCACAGCCCCTAGGGACCGGAGCCCCAGAACCCAACTCCTGGGGAAGGGGGAGCAGAACCCCCAGCCCGCACCCCCCTTTGGGAGTTATTTTTAGCCTGAGTGTGGGAGAAACGAGTGAAAGAGGATAATGAGGGTCATGAATATTCACAAGTGCAGCGAGGCAGCCAGATGGAAGGCAGAAGTGCTGCAGATGATGTGGGACGGCGCCAAGAAGCACGCAGCAGGGGCAGGGCATAGCCAGACAGGGGGGAGCGGGGGGCTGCACCCCACCTCCCTGCAGCCAGCACAAGGCATGGGATGGAATGCCCAATGGGTACCACCATCAGATGTCACCTCCACCACAATGCATCCCTATCTTCTTGTGTTGGGGCTGACAGCTCTGGGCACAAGGCAGGATTCCTCTGTCCTGCTCTGGGAAGCTATGCTATAGGATGCTCCCCCCAGCCCCAGGTGGGGTGGGATGGGACACAGTCCTTCCCTGAGGGATGTATCCCTACCCCTGTCCCCATCCTCTCCAATGGCACAACGGGGTCGGGGCCTCCTCCGTGCCCCAGTGATCACAGTGGGGAATAGAAATGCCCCCATGACCCCACACCCCACACCCTGCTGCTGATGGACGGGCAGGTGAGCCCACGCCGTGACCTCTGGCCCCCTGCACTGAGCACCCCATTGCATCCCCCAGCCTCGGGTACCCGGTGGGGCCGCTGGTTAGTCGATACGCCCAGTGAGCACATCCCACTGCTGCTCATCCCCCCCTTAATCCCCTTTTAATTGCCCCATTCCACACAGGTGGCCTCCATGGGGACAGGGGACCGAGCATCCCTCGTGGGGTGGGCTGATCCGCACCCATCCCACACCACTGCTATATGGCCAGGAGCTTGCGATGTAATTACATCCCCCACAAAGCACCCCAAAAAACAGAGCTGGGTGCTGCGGGACCCCGAAAAGCACAGTGAGCAAAGGGTTAATCCCATCCGGGGCCCTGCGGCCACCTCCCCAGGTGCTCCATCACCCATCCGCTGTGCTGCGAAGCCAATTACACCCGCTCTCACCTAATTAGTTTCTAATTACGGGCTTGTAGTGCATTCAACATAATTAGCATGTAAATTACACGCCGTGTTTATATTCAATAAGCGCTCTGCCCGCTCCTGGCAGTGCGGATGGAGCGCCTTTCGGGAGCCCTTCTCTTGATTTTAATCCGGGGGAATGAATTTAATTCACATGCCAACGGAGCCACGGGGCTGCGCAGGATCGGGGTCCTGGCCCCACATGGAGCATCCCCTATAGCCACACGGCCACCAGGCTCCCACCGTGCGCCAGGATTCAGGCTATCCAAAATCCCCGTGTCCAAAATAAGGCTTGGTTTGTCCTCCTCTGCATTGAACCCACGTGCTGTCATCGGGGCGATCAAAGCGCGGGTGGGTCGCCCCAGGAAAGCGGAATTGCTTATTTGTTTGAGCGTCACTCCGCTACCCCTTGATGGGTTATTTATGATGTAATTAAGCTAATTACATGTAATAAGAGAGTTTCCGTGGCCCCCAGCCAAGCTCTTTTCCCATTTAGCCGCTCACAGGTGGTAGGGAGCCGCAGGAGCGCGGCGGGGGCTGCGGGATGGTATGGGAACGGCTCTGCTTTGATCCCTGGTGCCACTGTGGGGACAGGGATGGGGACAGAGACAGCCCCAAACCCCAGCAGGGACAGGGGACAGGTGCCACGGCGCCCGAATCCAACCCCACATCAAAGCGGGGCCAACCCCATGCCAGGCACTGGAGCCCAATCCCCCCATTGGCACAGCCTCTCCCCTCCCCAGCCCCTCCCCCCCCCAAAAAACAGAGTTGTTGGTTGGGTTTTCTTTTTTTTTTTCCCAGCCAAAAATGCTGATTCATCCCCAGCCAGGAGGGACTGGGACTCTGCCTGTAAAGAGACCCTGTGCCACGGAGCCTGGAGGGGGATGGATGGCTTCCCTGTGTGATCCCACCCCAGAAGCAGCAGGGGATCATGGGGCACCCCTGGGGATGGAGGCAGAGCAAGGACATGGGACACCCCACAGTGAGGATATAGGACACCCCACAGTGAGCATCAGGGTAACACTGCCACGGCCACATCCTCAGCAGCAGGGAGCTGCTTGTCAGCAGCAGGAAAGCCCTGACCCACCCCAAAACACTTCCCCGGAGGGCTCCGGTGCAGCTTTCCCCACTAAGCATCCCACAGCCACAGCACGAGGTCACATCCCGCCCATGAGACAGACATCCCCAACCAACTGCCCAACAGAGCCCCATGGAAACCCATTCATTGAGAGTCTCCGTCGCTTGTGATGCCCCATAACCCCGCTGCTGCCCCACACCCAGCCCTGCCGTGCCTTTTCCAGGCGGTTTGCCACCTCCCATGAAGGCGGTGGGGAAGGAAACGGTGCAGATTGTTGCAGGTAGGGGGCCGCCAGCCGAGCCAAACCGATCCACCCCCTCCCTCCAGCAGGACCAAATCCGGGGCTGTACATCACCAAAAGGAACAGGAAAATACTAAAAAGGTGGTGGTGGCAGAGGGGACGGGTGCTGCACAGCCCTTGTCCCCACCGTGTCCCCCCATCTGGCCATGTTTATCGGCAGCCACTGCATGATGTGCCCCACAGCTGCAGCAGCTTAGCCGGGCGCCGAGCGGCCATCTGCCACCAATGTCCCCAGAGGGGCAGGGAAACTGAGGCAGGGCACGGGCTGCGCTCTGGGATGTGGCTATTATTACCATTACTAAACTGAGTTTTTGAGTTTTATTTTTTCCCACTAAAAGGTGGGAAGCAGCCCCACGGGGATGGCTCCCAGGGACGGATGCTTTGAAGCGCAGCTCTGACCCTGTATGCCTTCCTCCCGCTGACGCACCGCATCCTCCCCATCACTCCTGGAACTGACGTCCCCGGTGCCCGGCGGAGGAAACCGGAGCAGAGGGGGCAGCAGGATGCGCCCGGCACGGGGGGAAATCGCTCACAAGCAAGGAGGTGATTAAAAATATCCACCCTATTTCTGGCCGGCATGGCGCTGGGAAGAGCTGCTGGCAACGCAGGGCGGCCCTGCAGCCTCTCCCTCTTCCAGGGCAGCGCAGGATCGCGCTGTTCTTTCCATGCTGGTCACCTTCCTGCCCGGCACCAGGAAGGCGGTGACAAGAGGGTCCCCCCGGTCCCAGCTAGGGCAGGGACGCAGAGCCGGCCCCGTGACACCACTGCCCATCCTTCTTTGTGTGCTTTTCCCGAAACGCTCCACGCACGATAGCATTTCACTGAGGATGACGCAGGGCCTCGGGGAGTTGCAGCACACGGCGCTTCCTCCCCGTGCTGGGAGGATGCTGCGCCCATCCCTGTGTGTCACCTTCCCAGCAGCACCTTATCCCCTTGTTCCCATGCCCAGCAGGCAGCCTGTCCCTTGTCCCCATGTGTCATCGTAGCACCGAGCCGGGGTAAAAATGTGCGCAGGGAACACATCACTCCACGACGTGATGGAATGTTTGGAATTAATTTGTGCCCAGGGCTCACCGGGTAGCAGGGGCAGGTCCCAGCTTCACCACAGCCTTCCCATGGGATCCGGTCCCCCAACTCCCAGGGAGGGGGAAGCAGGGACGCAGCATAGGACCACGCAGAGCCGCAGGGGCAGCAGCTCTGCGCCGGGCAGGCACTGCTCCTGCCTCTCGCCTGGGCTTGTCCTGCTGCCTCATTCCAGGGATTTTCGTGTTGAGGCACAATCCCGGCTGCGTTTGGGGCCGCTACCCGCTGGGCTCTGCACAGTGCAGGGGCTCTGCTTTGCTCCCCAGCTGCAGAGCGCCCAGTCCACACCCAAGCCCCCATCTGCCTCCCAGCACCCGTCTCCCTGGCTGTGAGTACACATTTTGGGTGTCCCTGTTGCTCTACACATGGTGCAGACCCACATGGCTCCCAGGGCGGAGGATGGGGACATTCTGGCTTCAGCCTGGCTCCCAGCGAGATAACAAAAGCCAGCACCTGCCTCTGTGTTCCCACTGCCCTCCATGGAGTGTCCCCAGCCAGAGACAAGGTGGAACCACCAGGCGGGCACAGCAGTGCCCAAAGGGACCCACAGCACCAGCACACACTGCAGGCTCTGCACTGCCCAGATTGTGATTTGAGCTCTGCTCCTTTGCTTCTGCAACCAAAAGCCCTGCATTCGGTGGTCAGCAATGCCAGACCTCCCCCCAAAATGCCAGTGTCAGGGCTGCACTGTGGGTCCCAGATCTAGACCCACACCCCTGATTGGCTCAGGCACTTAAGGGTTAATTAACCCCCTTCCCTCCCACTGCCCCCCCCCGCCTTCCCACCGGCCCCCCGCCAGCTCCGGGCACTAATACCGGCGCGGCTGCAAGCTGCTGTCTGGAGCCGGCAGCCGGGGGCCCCCCTGGGTGAGGATTTAGGGTTGGGCACCCCACAGGGCTGCAGATCCCAGCAGTGACCCTATACAGCTCAGGGAGTGGCGTGTCCCCCCCGCCCCGGTCCCCACGGCTTACCTTTGAAGGAGAGCTGCACCCTGGGGGTGGGGGGCACGCCGTCCTTGCCGTGGGCTGCCCGCCAGCCCAGGGTCAGCAGGGTGGCCCAGAGCAGGACGGTGGCCACGGGCATTGTGGGGGCACGCTGGGGGCAGTCCAGGGGGAGCACGCCTGGCAGAGAGGGACAGCGAGGCGGGCGTCAGGGGGGGATGTCACAGCGAGGAGCGCAGCCAAGCCCCACTGACAGCATGGGATTGGGCATAAACGGGGAGGGAAGCACAGAACTGGGGGGGACGGGCTGCAGGGTGAGGCTGCGGCATGCACCCAGGTGAGCCGTGTGCCCCCTCCCCCGGCTGCTGCCCCCCATCCCCTCCCAGCCCTGAGTGCAGCACAGAGCTGGGCTCACATCTTTCCAACAGGAGGGAAATCTGGACTTCATTATTCCACAAGCGAACACACACACACCAAAAAA